TTTTAATCAAAACACTATATCTACCTATTTCTCCACATACAACTTTTAGACTTAATCCTCGTTTCGATGTGATGGATCACAAATGTTGGCATTTCTGGGAGAAAAAAGGTTGTTTTGAATTTTATGGCATCGGACATTTCAAAAAAGTTAATCAGAGGCAACAAAAAGCTGTAAAATTAAGAGGTTTAGTTAAAAATCATCTGGAGGAGCCTTTGGTAAACAAGCAGGTTAACACATCAATAAGACTGAATATAAAAARATCATTTTAGATAAGAATGATGCTCTGAGGTTCATCAGTTTGTGTAAAACTGTCCAAACTAATGAAACAACTGTGGTGGTCCTGCAGCAGATTAAACGCCTCTCTCGTCCCCTCAGACTACGAGGCGCTGCTGCAGCAGCTGCAGGCCAACGACGCGTCATCAGGAGACTCCTTCTACATCCGGGTCAACGTGTCGCTCGCTGCCGGCTCCGGCGGAGCTCTGTCCGTGTCGTGCAACGACGTCCTGCACGTCACGAACACCCGACCCGCTGGCGCCGAGGACCAGTGGCACGCYAGCCAGGTGCACCCCTGTCAGCTGCTGGACCTGCAGAGGGGCAGCGTGCCTAATTACTACAGGTTGGTTCTGTGAAGCTGAAGCGGACCCTCGGCTCAGTCAGGTTTGGGACTGATGATGTTTCTGTGTGAAACCTCAGGGCGCAGAGACTTCTGATTCGAGCCATTGAAGAAATTAATTTTCAGACCCAGAAGTGTTTGAAGGTAAAAAAAAAAATCAGCTAATTTGTTCTCAGTGGCTACGTCCAAAAGTTCTGCTGTAACTTTTTTCTTCCTTGTCCAGGATGGACAGACCCTCCCTGAGAGTAAAGAGAAGGCAGTGAGGATCGTGAGCACGGGGCGTCCGGGTCGGAACCCTCTGTGGGTCAGCGTGGAGAAAGAAAAGATGACGAGCTCGGAGTCTGGTACCAGAACCCACCTGTCTGTCTCATTCTGCTGTTCTCATTCAATCCTCAACCTGACTCCACCCTGTCCTCCCTGCAGGATCTCCGCCTCYGTCCAAAAGCTGCGTGACCCTCATGCCCTACACCCTGGTGTCCCCCCACTTCCCCCCTGTGTGCAGGCCGGTCCTGCTGCTGCCCACCGTCCTGGGTCGCATCCTGGACAAGAAGTTAGCCAGCTGGCAGGGCTTTGAGCTCTGTGAGCCCGGTAAGACCCCCAGCAGTGTGGGATGTTTTCTCAGCGAGCCCGCAGACCTGSTGCTGTTTTTACAACCTGTTTTGTTTCTCAGCAAACACACTGTCTCAAACCCTGCAGCCATAAATATTTAATGGTTTTTGCTGAAAACCAGGAAGGAAATAAACTGCGTGAACAAATATTTATAAAAATCCCAGTAGAGGCTGTAAATGTGTGCCAGTGTTCCCTGCAGTGAGCTCAAAACAAACATTTGATCATCTTTGAGGGAAAGTTCTGGACTTATATAAGAAAATCAAATAGATCAGTGATGATGATGATGATGATGATCAGTGTTGTATAAAGTACATCAAAGTGATACTTGAGTAAAAGTACAAGTATCTTTATAATAAAAATATTTTGGTAAAAGTTAAAGTCTTCTCTAAAAATATTACTTGAGTAAAAGTCTTAAAGTATCTGATATGT